TATATATATATAGACATATAAATGATTTCATGATAAATTTGATAAATGATAAATTATGTGATTTGATGACAAATTTGCATTAACCAGTGTTAACTAGTGGAACTTTATTGTAAGTGTTACCCAGAATTTTCTTTTTTGGGTGAACTCATCCAGTTAACATGGTAAATGTGACAAACTGACTTATTTAATGAGTGACAGAGGGAATCTTTAATATATTTGTCATTGTTTTACATGTTGATAAATAAATACAAGTAGCTTACTTCTTTGATAAAAAGCAAAAAAAGCAAATAGGTTAATATATTTTTATTTTCAGCAAAATAGTTCTAAAAAGATGACAAATACATACATGAATGAATGAATTAATTAATAAGTAAGTTTGAGAACCAGTACTGTATAATTATAAATGAATATACCAATATAAATGTTGCAACACGTTTTAATTGTTAGTTCATCTGTGTTACCCCCCAAAAAAATGCATGTCAGAGGCTTTTCTCTTTATTTCTATGAATTTACATTTATTAAATATAATTTAAAGTTGTCACTTATTTATTATAATGCTCTACATATAATCTTCTCAGGAACTCCTCCATGCTCCTCATCAGCCCAGTCTTGACCTTTCAGATTTCGAACAGTGAGGCACAAGCACTTTATTTTTGAGCCACATCAACGCACACAGCTGGTGTCTTCAGCACCTCAGTGGACTCATGGGTACCGTACTGTCGCTCTCTCCGGGTCCTCGAAAACCTGGTTATTATGATGACCGGCCCAGTTCTCTAAGCCATTACCCGAGCCTGAGCAGCCGCTCGCTGAACACTCAAAAGGACCGCAACCTTAAACGCGGCCACTCCATCTTCCTCCCCGCACTCACCTGGAAACGCCTGGTGGCCTCCACCAAGAAGCGGGGGGAGTCCAGAAAAGCCTATCCTGGAGGTCAAGGGGCCGTCGGGGCTCCTCTCAACAACAATAACATCTACCAGAAGGATCCGGTCTTGCACCTCAACCGCGAAAATGTGAAGAAGTCTCTCTCCTGCGCCAATCTCACTAGCTACGATGGTCCTGCGGGTCTGGGCCTGGGCTTAGGGCTGGGTGTGGGATATGGCAAACCGCAACAGATTTCCTCTGTTAAGAAGATCGCACCTACATGCACCTCCTCGCCCAAGCGTGTGATTGTCCAAGCCTCGACTAGTGAGCTGCTCCGCTGCCTGGGCGAGTTTCTGTGTGGCCGCTGCTATCGGCTCAAGCATCTTTCCCCCGCCGATCCGGTGCTGTGGCTGCGCGCTGTGGACCGCTCACTCTTGCTCCAGGGCTGGCAGGACCAGGCCTTTGTGACACCAGCCAATGTGGTGTTTGTGTACATGCTGTGCCGTGATGTGGTGAATGGCGACGTGGTGTCTTCAGAGCATGAGCTCCAAGCAATTCTCCTAACCTGCCTGTACCTGTCGTATTCCTACATGGGGAACGAGATCTCGTACCCGCTCAAGCCCTTCCTGGTGGAGGCGGCTAAAGAGGCATTCTGGGACCGTTGCCTGGCCATTATCGACATCACCAGTGCCAAGATGCTGCGCATCAATGCAGACCCACATTTCTTCACACAGGTCTTTGCCGATCTGAAGAGCGAAGGAGGTTGCGCTTTGCGGGACTACGCTAGAGTTCTGGATCGGTGAAAAGAAGGATGAGGAGGATCGTCTTTGCAAATGTGACAGCGTCAACATCTCACACCGTCATTCCATCATTCTGGCCCCCCATATGCCTTGTCACGTAACATTATGAGCCTTGTTTTGACCATTCTGCAAGAAACAGAAGCAACATATTCCTGCTGAAAAGATCAGCGTAGACCTGTGAGAATGTCCAGGCTGGCGTATGTTGGTTTGGTGCTGGTCTAACTGTTGAACTACACTGGTTTAGCTAGTTAAGCAGCATGCTGATGACCATCTGTGATGCTCTTTTCGGCAAGAGAAGGAAGTACAGTGAGCTTCGTGATATAGAAACAGCATGAGAATGATATACGCAATAAAGGTTCTTTATTGGCATCAATGGTTCCATGAAGAACCTTTAGCAAGTTATGGAATCTTTCCATTGCACAAAAGGTTCTTTATAGTGGAAAAAAGGTTCTTTAGATTTTTAAATGTTCTCACACTAAGAAAAACTGTTCTTTTCAGAACGGTTCACTGAAAGGTTCTTTGGGGAACCAAAAATGGTTCGTCTTTGTCAGAGGTGTCCAATCCTGCTCCTTGAGGGCCAACGTCCTCTAGATTTGAGCTCCAACCAGCTCCAACACACTTGCCTGGAAGTTTCTAGTGAGTCTGCTGACTTTGATTTGCTGTTTCAGGCATTTGGAGCTAAATTCTGCAGGAAAGTGGCGCTTCAGGAACAGGTTTGGACACCCCTGTTCTGTGGCATCGCTGCAAAAACACCCTTTTTGTGTATAGTGGAAAAAGGTTCTTCAGGTTATGAAAATGTTATTTATACATTTATAAATCGTTCACTAAAAGGTTTTCTTGTGGAACTCAAAATAATTTTTCTATCATGTCACTACAAACCCTCTTTTGGCATTCCCAACTTTGTTCTTTCTCAATCAATTCCCCTATCTTAAAAATTAAATATAGTCATAATTTAGGGATCAACGTCAAAAGGAAGGGAGAGATTGTCAATCTGCATAGAAGTTTGTTAGTTACGCTGTTGTCAAACCAACCTTTTTCAAAAATAGTTACGATTACTTTACTAAACATTTCAGTTCCTCTACCTTTATGACATCTAGTTTGAGAGAAACTGCAACAGAAACCATCCAACAAAGAGCATTTTAGCGGGTGTGTGGGATGGATGAACCAAACAGTGAGCATCAACAGCTGTTGGTTATCATGTTGTCCTTCCTTTATTTCATGTGCTGGAAGTTGGGGCACCAGCTGCAATGGCATTAACAAGATTAACAGATTAGTGTCACACACACACACACACACACACACACACACTCGCACGCACGCACGCACGCACGCACACACAATTCTCAATGCTTCTGCTTGCTACCCAGCTGTATAGGTTGAATGGCTAATCCATGTAGACCAAATACACTAGTGTATGTTCTGTCCTGCATGTCTTGGCATCTGTGTAGCAATAGAGTGTCATTGAAAATATGTGTAAAATTTGAACGAGTCTATTGGAATGCATCCTTTCCTTTCAGATAATGAAGGAAACGAACGAAGAGGCCTGATTCTCATAATGCTCTCAGATCACTGTTGTTTACTTGTGAAATCAGTTTCTTTGAAATATAATATTTATGTCCCTTAAAGTCAATCAAAATTGACCCTATTTACTTTCCTGAAACACACACCGGGTCTTATTGTGCAGTATTCATCAGTGCACATTACTCCCAAGTCTGTAGTTTGCTATTGTCCATCAAAACCTGCTCCGCCTCTGAAACCTCTTGCAAAAATGATAAAACGTGTAATAGATAAAACAAGCATACTGACAGTCACGCATTCACTCTTCTCTGGGTCAGGGTTTCAGGTGTCAGCGCTCAGGCAGAAGAGCAGGGACAGCAGCATGTGGCACGGCAAGCACTCGTTAATCTTATTGTGGCGTTTTAAGGCAGGGCCATGGGTGCCATACTCCAGCTCCCCTGCAAAAGCCGACTTTAAACGCATACTTCAGCCCACACACGCTCTCACATATGAGCACACATGCTCACTCAAACGACCTGTAATCACTACGCATACATTTTTAGGCTAGTAACCACAAATGCACTGATACGCACGTGCATATGCATGCACCTTCTCCCACACGCTGAAGCGATAATCCGCTTTTGATCCTTGCCAGCAATTGGGTTGAGTGAGCTGAAAATGCCACAGTAACATAATGCCATTCAGATCAGACAAGATTTTTCTTGCTGAAACTAGCAGAAAAGGCACATCTTGTGTTTTGACTGTGCGCTAAGAAGATGTTACATAACAAACACAGAAAAACCGAACTGTGAAGTACTTGCTTAACAAGTACTTTCTTAATAGTTTTTTTATATATAAAATAATTATGAGGGATTGAAGGATAAACCAAGGTTTCACTTATTTTAAAAGTGTTTACCCATGTGAAAAAGAAGTGCGCTTAGTTTTAATTGAATGCGCACATGTAGTGTACTTCAAATCTTAAAAGTGTTTTTAACATATAGACTACTTATGATAAAAATGCCACTTAAGTTTACTTAAAAAGACAACACTTTCATGACTTAGCACACTTAAATATATTTTTAAAATTACACTTTGTAATATATCAAATTAAAAGTTTTACTTTAAAGTACATTTTAAATCATGTTTTAATAATATTTTGTCATGCTTTAAAGAAACACTTAATTTGACGTGTTGACTAACATGCTAAAGCACATGGAAAGTACTTGATTATAATTTTAACTGTAGTCTGTTATTCAATATTACATTTACAGTTAATATATCAATATAATGCAATAAATTGCAACTTCATCGTTAAAAAATGTGTAAATTACAAATATATTTAAATACATGACATTCAAGTTTCATAACTTATTGTCCGTATAATTTGCAATTCTAAAAATGGTTAGTGTAAATGTACTGCAAAATTTGGTGACACATTTATGAAACTCAAGTATTTAAATATATTTGCTATATTAAACTATAATACAGTTTCATTTAGTATGGTAAAGTGTACTTTACTCCATGAAATTCAGATTGGAAAGGCTTTTAGTCCATTTTTATTTTTATTTTTTGCTTTGAAGCATATATATGCTAATGTTCCCCAATAAACTGGCAAAATAGCTTTTAGCAGATATACAAATTTAAAATTCACAGCCTTTCCCTTCCAAAAAAACCCCATAAAAATAAATATTGATGACTCACTTGGTCTATTTTTTCCGATCTAATGCTCTTTAGAATGAGATAGTCCCAGCTAAAACAACATTCTTCTGTCTATGATCTAAACCAAATATCATCCGCATTAAAAAAAAAAAAAAACAACCCTTTGATATTAGCTCTCATTATGGGATATTTATTAGTTTATGCTTATTTACAGCTTTTCTCATTCGATTTGACGCATTTCTCCAAACTCAGGTTACTGTCCTCAAAACAGTTTACACAGTGATCTGAACACTTTATAATTGTCCTGAACAGATTGTAAGTTTTCATTCATTTCAAATCATGCAACTAATTTTATCAAAACACTGTGAATAAAACTCTCAAATGTTTTCATGATAGTTAAAACAACCAAACAATACTTTAAAAAAACTAAATAAAAAACAATTGTATCTCCTTTTATTGGTTGTACACAAATCACAAACTAATGTGTCATTTGTCATATCATCAAATGCATATGGTATGCTATATTTTCAGTTGGCCCCAAACTAATAACTGTTCACTTACAGTAATAACACACACAGCACATGAAACACAGTTTTTCTAATTGTTTACATATATTTATATATGTGCGTACCATGAGTGCTCACTGACCTGAGTTTTGCCCCGCAAACATTTCAGCATGATTTGACGCATTTCTCCAAACTCAGGTTACTGTCCTCAAAACAGTTTACACAGTGATCTGAACACTTTATAATTGTCCTGAACAGATTGTAAGTTTTCATTCATTTCAAATCATGCA